GTGCACACATTAAGAGGCAGAGGACGATGTTTAAATCTTCAAACACTGCTGCTATGGCTGGGTCATGTTGACACAGATATACTTATAAAACACATTCGGCTTAAGTTTCATTTGTGTAGCTTGGACAGAAACGTGTCTCACAAGGGTAAAGGCTGGGAAGATGGAGGTAGGGGTTGCTTGCTGCAGAGCTGTGTCTGGCTACAGCCTACACACTATGACCAATTTGAGCCCAGATGAACTGGAGTGTGACAAAAATGCCGGGCTCGGGAGAGCAGCTAAGACGGGTTTGAAGAGCAAAGACGATATATCGATTCGTTTCCTCAGAGGCTTTACTTGATAATTGCACGTGTAAATAGGGAATCAAACAAAAACAGTCAAACATGAAAAACTAAGGAGAAGACCCTTCCCTAGGCTCTGACCTCACTTCCTTTGACATCACAGCTTGGCGGGGGGATGGGCAGAGAGCAGCTAGCTAGTAAAACCAGTTTTTATGTAGCTGCCGCGTCCCACATTAATGCACACAACCCATAGGATAACCGTTCCCCGGTTCCTGTTTTAAACACAATAAAGCGGCTTTCCACGGTACAGTAACACTGATGTTATCTCAAACGCGAAATGCCTGAATGCTGAGTAACAAGCAGTAACCAGTGGAGGGGAACAGCAGCACAGCAACACACAGCTCTCTCCTTAATACCCTAGCAACATAAAGGAGGAATATTATATCCTTACGTACCTCTGAAGTGCATAAGAGCCACCGGCTGAAAAGGCCCATTGGAATTAGGAGCATCCACAACCATCCTGTCTCCAGATTTATTGCATGTCAACATCTAAACCTCAACCAGGAAGGCGATCCACTCAGGGCGAGAGGCCAGCCTCCATTTTAGCACAAAAGCAGATCAGAAAATGAAGCTCTCTGCTGCTGGAGGGAACTGGCTAGTTAGTGATGTAAGCAGTGAATGAGCCAGCTGATTGGCTGAGGTCAGACTGCTCTGGAGCAATGGAGGCAAAGGCTGCTTGCAGAGAGCGAAGCTGATTGGCTGAGGGGTGCGTCGGAGGCGGGACATGCATTGGAATTTTCGGTGTGGCTCCTCCTCTCCACTGACTGGTCTCTGGTGACGCTCTGCGAGGCAGGCCCTGCCACAGATCTCAGATCAGATTGACTTAAATCATTTCCACAGTTTAACCATTAGCAGGGGTTTCAGCATAATCTGATTTAGGATAAACAGCTGGAAATAACTTACTCCGAGTGAGAGAGAGGCCCCGGCTGAATCTTCAAAGTCTCTCATTGTTTTCTCCTGTCATCTCTGCTTGGTGTTTTATCATAGGGAGGTGGAGGAGAGGGTCAGAGGGGGCCTCAAATCTTTGGATTCAATGAGGAACAGGAGTAGACAAGAAGAAACCGCAAGAGGGGCTGAAGACAGGTTGAAGACAGGCTAAATGTGGACTCAAACACCAGAGCTCTTCAGTGAGGGAAACCAAAGAAATTCAACAGAAATGTGTGTGATTATGCACAACACAAGATGAAAGACCATGTAAATGTGTGGCACAGTCATTCTGAATATGAGCAAATAATATGAAGTCTGAGAAAGGATTAGATCCATTTTTAAAAAGACATGAAAAAGACAGTATTACACAATAGGAACTGAATTAAGCTTCAATCAGCCCTTTCGTAACATAATAATGTATTTTGAGAGATGGCTTTCTGACTCACAATGTTCAGGGCAAAGGCAGACTTTGCGGCATTATTCTATTCTGGGTGATGTACAGTGCTTAACAAAATTAGCCTAAACAGGAAATGAAAGTGAGGATAGAAAAATAAATTGCACGGGCACACAGCGCAGGAAACTGCTTCAGCTCAGAGCAGCATTATGCAGCCTGTATGAAAGTTCATCTAGGGACTTACTGTAAACATCTCTTTAAAGTCAAAAATATATATCATACAAATTGAATATCACAATATATATCACAATAAAGGTTGTGTATATTTAGACTGACGATTATTCCAATAATCTACACCAAAAAAGTAAAACTCCAATGCAACAAATGCATATGATCTGCATTTCATCTTTATATAATAAAGCAGCTGTCCTTCTCATGTGATTCATCAGAGGACCCACGAAGTGAAAACACATTCCCGTCACAAGGCCGACCACAGTTTTTACAACAGTGGTGTTAAAGACCATTTTCACTGTCCTTTCACAGTCATTTAATGACAAAGGAAGTGCGCTGTTTTCCAACAATAAGCAATGTCAGGCATGTATTTCACAACTAATTAATGTTGGCCAATTAGGAAATTATTACTAAGTAATGTTTCAATTACTAAGCGCTGAGTTCTACTGAAGTTTGAGGTCTGAAAGCATTATAAATGATCAGTTTTGAGCACAAAATATTATATGTTTTATAGACATATTACCCAAAATATGTGTCGGGATTATTTGGCAAGGTTTTTTTGTCTCAGCAGGTGTAGTTATAATTTCATTGTGGATTGAGTTTTTTCTCAACGCTTCTTTCTTTTTTCTCGAGGTTAAGGGAGGAGAGGACAGGAGAGGAAGGCCAAGTATCACTAAGCAGTTCTCACTTGGCATTCTCTCACTGAGGGGCCAAAGCCTCTCCAAGAGGTGCCATTACATTCCTCAGTCATGACAACGAGCACCGGTATTTTCTAATAGCTGCCACTTACTTCCTAAAGAGAGGACAGGCTCAAAAAGTGTACCAGATCAGAAATAGTCCAGGACGACTTCTGGATTTTTATAAGACAAAAAAGAGTATTCTGACGATGTTATATATTTTAATCGCTCTAACAAATCTTAAGTACACCAAAAGCCACCATGAAGGCCAGTATTATTAGTGTAGTGTGATGCCATTTCTCTGTGCCATACACCTCCATTACTTTCCAAAATCAATACAAAACACATCCCATAATAGTAATTTGAACACAGGCTTTGAAATTTTGAGTCAGGCCCACACAAACACCATCCTGATCACGTAAACACTCACTAATGCACCAAATGTGGATTAATCTGCACTTGAGCATGCTCCCCATTAATTGTATTATTGTATTGTTTATGTTTTGCACAGTCCTCCATTGAAAGTAATTTCATCAGAGTAACTTATAGAAGCAAATGTTGCATCTGCTTTCACTGGGCTGGTGGACAACCACAAAACAATAAATACATTACAAATAAATCACTAAACATAAAAGTCCATTCGGGTGAGATAATTGCAATATAGACAGATGACAAGCTGTTTAAGGAAATTAGTGAGACTTTAATAAAGACAAAATAGTTTGTATGTGTCCCAGGATTAGAGATCCATGTATTTTCTATGAACAAATGATAATGCAGTTAAGTGCAACAGATGGAGTAGGGAAGTCAGAAAAGTATTGAGAGTTATAACATCTTGTTTTTTTGGTATTTTCAATAGATTTGTGGACATTAAAAACACATAACATACACTGCCATTATTCATCTAACAGAGAGAAACAATAGGTTAACTTTAATAACAAAAAGGCTAGACATTAACTACTAAACATTCTCCACAATTTACTGTAATAGTTCAACCAATGAAACAGCAGTTTTCCCATTTCCAGCCAGAAGATGGCAGCATAGGCTGAGCTATTTGTCCAAGAGTGTCTGCAACCTTTGTCTGTAACATGAGCCCATCACTAAATGTTTTACTGACACTTGGAACAACACACTGTTTACTCCTCTACTCAAACATGCATTGTATTTCTATTGACAACATGTTGCCCACGGCAGCAAGTAGGACTGTTGTCTGTAGTCGCTTGATATTCAACATTTAAAAAGGGAAATAAAGTCTCAAATTGGATCCATGATCAAGAAATATACATTGCATTTTTATTTGATGCTGTCAGGGTACACACTTACAGATCGACATGTCCTTTCTTTCTCTTTTAGTATTTGGTAAGATATAAAAGGCACACATTTGAATCCTGAAGCCTGTGGCAACAGTTTTAGCTAGAAACAAAAATCAATTTGTCTTCTCTTGTATTTCTCTCTGTGGCCTCATTCATCTTTCCAAGTTACTCACAGAAATTGTTTATTTAAATGAAAAACCAAACTTTTTTTTGTATTTATTTTTAATTAATTGTCACATGCAGTCAACTGTGACCGTGTCTTCCTCAAACTTGCAAATCCTCTGGGCTGTACACCTCAATGGTTCCTCTGTAGTGTCACCAGGCTCATCCAAGTATGAGAACAAAGCATAGCTGTGTATAGTTTACAGGAAACCACTTAGGCCATATCCTGTAATGTAATGTAATGTGGTGTGTAAACAAAGAAGCCATGAAAGATTGATGTAGATGTTCAAACCTCAACCTCACTCACTGTCTCGTCTCAGAATCAGCATCAGTGTGATACGTAATGATAAATCAACATGGTACATTTAACAACTGACAGTATAATGATGGTTCTGTTATAGTAACTACGCTTCCAGTTATTTCTACATCTTCATCAGGCTGTATTTCCGATTAACCTTATTTTAAAGTGCAGTATTGAAGTGTATTGAAGGCCTTTCAGCTGCATGATGCTCTAACACATGTCACCAGTTAGGATTCATGTTTAATTTGGGCTTACATCTTGTGCCCAGATTCCACCACTGACCATTCAGTCTGGGTCAGAGTTATCTTACACGAGCGAGTCCTTCCAGGGCAATATCTGTTTCCTCCACTGAACGGCTGGAGATGCAGCTGATTGCACATCATTTGCATTACAGATAAAGCTGATGGGCAGTCTGCTTGGCTATTAAATTATGTAGTGAGCAAAGGTTAAAAAGGGGGTTGTGAGGATCCACCAAGGCCATGAATTGTTAATAGCATTCCCTTCATCCATATAGGCCAAACATGCAATCTAGATTAAGGTCAGCAAGCATTTTCCAGGAGAAGGGTAACCGCCTATCATTGTGTCGTCACAGAGGAGGGAAATGTAGTGGAGTTGCATTGAAGATAAAAATAGAGAAACTTTATATTTAGTTAGGCATACCTGCCAGTGCAGCCAGTTTATGTAGCTCTCTGTTAGCACTGAGTGGGAAGGAGGAAGTGCTGAACCTCTTCTCCCTCTTGACGGCTGAGTGTGACCCCGGCTGCTTCACCCTCATCAACTGAGTTGCAGGAGGCACTTTTTTATTGGAGCCCTGCAGAAACAAGAGTTGCAAAGGAAGAGCTCCCGTTACTGGAGCAAGGTAGAGTGAGGTAGTTCCTGCACCCAAAGGAAATAGCACAGGAATCACTTTACTTTAAGTGTCACCCATGGAGTTCAAAGCAGGAGAAGGAGTGGAGAGGGTCAGGACACCCAAAGGGATGAGGGGGAAAACATAGGACTTGAAAGGAAAAGAGAAGGAGTGAGGGTGTTGTGGCTAGGGTCAAGTTCCTTTCCGAATCAGATCAGGTGATTCTCAATGAAGCAACCTGATCATAGTTGGCGGTGTACTGCACTGCATCTGTTGACAGTGTTTGTGATGGACCTCTGTGGACAGAATAATTGAGCATGGATGGAGCTGATAAAGCTGTCATTGGAACAAACAGGAGGCCAAGCTGTCAATCAATCAGGTCTCTTCCAATCTCAAAGCAGGTTACTCAACATTACTGATGCCTGCCAAAAATTATAAGGACGAAAATAGCCGCTACAATGGCTCGTATTATACTCAGAGCACAAGTCATGACGGGGAGGATTGAATGCCACTGTTTTCAGAGAAAATAAAGTCATAAGATCATGCTGAAATGTCACATGAGAAACTTTGCCTTCATTCATGCTAAACATTTTCCACAAAAAGGTCAAAAGAAGTTTATAGTGAACCTCCTAAGCGCTATCAAGGCTGTTTGTTAATTAGGACACCAATTAACACAAAAGACAAAATATATTTACTTTATAAAATTCACAACAGCATAAAAGGAGCTTGTTTCCTATAAAAAATAAATGTAACATCATCATTAGAGCAAATAAAACTTGTGTACACTGAGCTTGCTAATGGTATTTATTGCAGTATCCTGTGGTGTCTTCACAAAAAGCAGCACAGGTTAATACTTTATCTACATGCTAGTAATGCATTTTTATGTTTTGCATATATTTAAAAAAAAAAAGCCAATGTAAGTTCTGTCTGGACAGAGAAAAGTAAAGAAATACTTACATCTTGGTCGTCTGCAGGTTCATTTTTACTTCCAGACTTTTTAGATCTTCCAGGTTTAGTTTCCTAAGGAGTGAAGAATCAATGAAACACATTAACCCAAATTATATAATGGTAACATGTAATAAAGTACCATTGCATCAAACATCTACTTTACCTTTTCTTTTTTGCTCTTGTGAGGCATGCTGAGATGGGAATCCCGGTGTCAGCAGGTCTCGTTGAAACTGTGTGTGTCACACACTGACAGCTAAAGCCTGGTGAACGCGTCTCTACCACAGACTGTACAGCTCTGCACACACTGATGTGTCTTCACTGACCATGCAAAAACCATGTGACTGCTTCCGAGCCACATTCAAAATCTCAACCTATTTCCACGGTGGCTGCATAGCACAACAACTTGTTAAAAACGTACAGTTCATGATTAAAGAAAATACCGATTGTGTTCGTTGTCAGCGCCCAACTTACTGCTGCGGGTGGGTGGCTGCACTTTCTGATAGCCGTGTGTCCTCCACCAGCCTCACCGAGAGATGTGTGCCCTCTGCCGGCTGTAATGCCATGTGAGTGCCGCAGGAGGGCAGTGTTGGATATCAAAAAGAAGGTGGATTTACAACTTCAGGGCAATGGATTGAAAGTGTTTTATTAGAAGTATGTAATACAATTATACACATTAACATCTTTCAAAGTGAACTTTAAAAATAACTAAAATCAAGCGAAAAAGGCGAATAAATGGATAGAAAAGTCCGTTTTGATAGCTTTTTAATTGTTTTGCTAAATGGTGTTTTCTTTATGGACAATAGTTGAATTTCTTTCATTCGGATGTGATCTTTAACTTCTTCAAATTTAAATTCATTAATGCAAAACTTTCATAAATGTTCATTCATGAGTACAAAGGTTATCATGATTTGACCTGATTTGGACCATGGTGATGTCAAGTGAATAATAATAAACACTGTTACACATAACTAAAATAGCTAAATATATGGAAACATGTAAGAATGAAAATGAATAAACATTCACAAAACAGTAATGTTTGATGTTTAACGCTGATGCAATGATTCAGATCCTCACATCAGCACCACAACTCCACTGATTTTGAACACCACCCAAACAAAAAGCATTGAAAAGCATGTATTCAAGTTGAAACTACAAATACATTTTTGTATTGATTCAAGTGTGATACTATTTATTTTACTTCCTTAGTTGAGCTTATCAATGAGAAAATGTTCTTCCTGGGTGATTTTCTAAATGTATTAGTTATTTTTGCTGTAATACGTAACTTGGTCCATGTGGTGGCAGTGTTGCATGCTTTTCAGCTTTGTGTAAATTAATTCTTAAGGGTTTCCATTTACCTGAAGGCAGGTGTACTCTATAAATATAAATCTATAAATCTTACATTAAGTACTAAGGCGTCTGTAGAAAATTCTGTCATATGAGATTGCCATGCAGTGACAATGCATCTTCCACTAACCTTAAAAAAAATAAAAAAATTACACCACCCACATAATCCTTTAATACTCTTTTACTTAAAACACTTTAAATGAAATTATGGTCCTTGAATTTCTTCACCTCTATCCGTAGGTTGATAGGTCATGAACTCCCACATATTTCTGATGGTTTAACTATAGTGTACCTCTGTGTTGTACACTTGTTTTGACATCTAAAGGGTGCACACATGTTCTTATCATGATTAAAAGAAGTAAAGATTGACTCGAGCAATGAATGGATGTGTGGGCTACAAATAGAGTGGGATTGTTTTTCTATTCTGGTTGTCAATGCTGAACACTGGTGTGTATTGATCAGGCTGTGAGAGTGTGCTGTTCGCATTGTGTTTCCATCTCTCTGTGCATGGTCAGAGCTTCTTCATCAGCACTCAGTTATTACTGGCTGATACGGCTCCCTTCATTTCCTGTCTCTGCAACAGCAGTGCAACAACAAAGAGGGAAAAAGTTTGTTGTGTGCGCGTGCATGTGTGCGTACACAGTTGGGTGGATGGCTGTGTGTGAGACAGTACACAGCGAAATGCAATAAATAATCTAGACTTTCACAGGCAGCTGTTTATTGAAGAATATCAGTGATGTGAGGGAAGATTTGTATTTCTTCCATTCTCCGATAAATACATATCTTATTCCTCCACATAAATCTGTCCACTAGACTTTTTTTGATCCACTACAGGCTAAAAACTAATTTCTCTCTCATATTTTTTTATTTTCCTGACTCTTCATCATTATATTTCTTTAAAGCTTTGTTTGAGAATCACCTGGTTAAAATTCTTTATACTTTGCCATGTCCGGCCAATGGGTCCTAATGAGCAGGGCAGCTCGACAAAAGCTTGTTTATTTGTCAGGGAGGCAGAGAAAGGGTTAAGGGTAGATAGAAATAGACAGCTTGTTGTAGTGGAAGAAGATTGCTGGAGAGAACAAAAGAGGGTAACAGGGGAAAAGATGGCTTGGTTAACTGTAATCACTGTGCTGCATCGCAGGTGCACGATCCCCAATGATAAGACATAAATGTGTATTGATTTTGACACAATCTGTCACACACAGGCTCACACTTGCATGGGGGTCTGTTTGCCTTCTTTCATTGTGAAAGGGGACTGTCATGGCTTGGTGGATTGATTTAGAAAAGATTGTATTTCGTGTTTTCATCACATTTCAAATGTCTCTGGTGAAAATCAGGACACCTCACAGATAACTCTAACAATATAAAATCACAAATTCAGGAAGTAAAAACAAGTTAATGTGAGCAAAAATATTGTCTTTAAGTAGGTTACCAAATGTAAACTGAATCAAAGATAAAGCAAAAAAAAATCACATTATAAAATAAGTTGTTATTTAAATAGGTCTTGATTATTTTGTATCGTCACCTCTGAGTTGTCAACCCAAATCTAAGAATTTCCAAATGGGCTAAATGACAGATGTTTCTGCCAGTTCAGAGGAACAGTTGACCTCTCAGAGCTTAGCAGTAGCTTAGATGAGAATGTTAGCATCCCTGTGTGACTCTTATTACACAACAACATTTTTAAATAGACGATTTCTAAGAACTTTTCCCCTTTTTTAACAAAACAGTCTCGCCTCAAGATCTATTGAGTAGCTTTAGCTTTCTTCACATGCTTTTCATTAGCAGACGAGGTTTTCGAAGTAGTCGTTGGACAGTAAATGTCATGTTTAAATGTACTTTTTTTCCTAAGGGCATTAAGAACTACTTATGTTGGTTAAAAATAATCTTGCCTCGAGATCCAATTGATAGAGATTTCCACAATCTTGATCAGCAGAAGAGTGATGTTTAAAATATCTGCTTATTACTGAATGTTAAAAGTACTTGCTGCGCTAGAGAAAAGGATCCTGTCATCAGCATGCCACTGTTAGCACGCTGCCATGCATATTATAACAACTAGGATGTTGGAGTGCTTATATTTATCATTATGGAGCGCTCTCACTGAGAACAGAGACAACATCCAGGTGCCCTCGTCTTGCCTCAGCAGAGAAGATGTTTGAGGCAAGAACATCGTGTGCAACTTGCCTCAGGAAAATCGTCCTTTGGGATTTAACTTTCCAGTTCCTTCAAAGTGACCTTATAGTCTTTTAGCCTGTAGCTACTTTCTGCAGTCACCTTGCTGTTTCATGCCAACTCCACTGGAACTCACCTCACGCTCGGCAACCCCCAGCTCTGCTGCACCAGCTCCAACCTCTTTTCCTTTCCCCTGGGTGTTGGAGCGCTCCCCAGACTGCTCTCCCCTGTACTCTACCCTTTGCATTTTTATTTGCAGCTTTATTTCTACCTTTTACAGAAAGGTTGTGCTTGCAGACAGCTTTTAACATTCAGCCTGAAAACAGTAATGTTAAAATTCTAAAATACTCTGTGCACCTCATATAAACAAGGTTCAAGGTTTTTATTTTTGTCATACGAACATAGCTACAGTGTAGTTATGATGATGAACATCTTAGGTCACAGGCTCTTCCAACAGTGCAACACAATAAAATAGGTAAACAGAAAAATATAGTGCAAGTAAATAGTAAATAGTAATATAAAAAGGAAAAATAGTTTAAAAAAGTGAAATAGTGCAATAAGAGTCTATATGCAAGTTATTGGAATATGATATACTGTATTAGATAAATAGAGAAATAATTTCTAAATAGCAGCCAGATGAATGTTATGGATTTTGTTTCAACAGTTCAGGTGTTTAACAGTCTTATTGCCTGTGGGATGAAACTGTCCCTGAGTCTGGTGGTAAACATTTCACATGAGAGTTATACATAGCTTTCTCTTATTTTAGGTTCCAACTAGATGTTAAAAGAGAGAATACAGCGGCAAGGTTCTTGGAGAGGAAGTTTGTTTTTCTTTTCTTTCAAAGACAAGTCATTATGGTTAATGCCAGTCAAGTCATCTGTAATCCAGAAGTTCATTAAGAACAATTACGCCAACCATTCAGCTCTGACACAGATACAATAGCCATTTATTGGCTGACTTGTTTCACTTTTTTTCAGTAGACCACCATCCTCGCCTCTGTCTCGCTGAAGCAATTAAAGGCATTTTCAGAATCAGTACATTCCCTTTCGCTCCATGGTATCTGACCTGCTCATTTCCCAGAAAAAGTTAAAGACCCACCGTTCACAGGGCACAGTGAGGGCTATATTTTAGAAAAAATGGTTATGCAAGTAAAGTCTGCAAAATGGGACCTTATTTCCATTTATTTGACACACTTCAAATTGAAAAGAGCTAAGCTCAAAATAAAGTTTGATCTTTCAAAAAGTTCCCCTTTCGTGTATTCAAAGATGTATTCATTCATAACTGAATTTAAGGCTTTAACTAAAAACGTTCTTGGTTTTTATATAAAATCTAGTAGTAGAGGATAAGAAACATCTTTTCAACAGATTCCAATTTAAATTCTCTCATCAGCCTGAGAGCTCATGTCTGGATTGTGGTAGTTCAGAGGGGCCGGGCTTTTAAGAAGGAAAAGCCCTCAGGTTTTTTCATCTCTCTCAGAAAGCACACACATTCATACAAATGTGAACACAGCTGGCACATGAAACACTCACACTGCATACAGTTACAACATGGTATGGCTTACAATGTGCATGTTTTAAATAAAGCATGTTTCAGTGGTGAATATGGCCTATACTGAGTCAATGGTGGATGAAATTGTATTCTCTGGCTAAATCATTGTTTTCAAGCTAAGACTTGTTTGAAAAGCTGAAGTCCTAGTTTGTCAACACTGATTCAACTTGAGCAGTGAACTGGGACTGAGATGAAAATGTGATTTATTTTCCTTTTGTCTATGAGGATTAGAGATAAAAAGGCATTTAAGATT